AGAGTGTGAAGCTGTCTCCTCGTGTCTGGGCATGTGCTCAGAGTGGAACAATGAGGATTGCAGATGTCCAGGGGCCTTCTGAGCTGTGGCAAGATGGGGTCTCACAGCAGAAGCTAGATGACTCTGAGGCTCATATGGGAGAGACATTGTGGGTAGAGCTGGGAAGAGTTCTACTCTAGGTGAAAAGGATCAGACAAGGCAACAAAACCGGGCAAACTACAGAGATACCAGCAGTTTCATGGGGAAATGGGAATACCACCTCTATTCTTCTTTCCTTTTAAAAACTGGTACTATTTTCAAGGTTTTAATTGTGAATAACTTCTTAACTGTGTACAATTTTTCCCCCTTTAAAGAGATTTTTAAGCTTTCTGAGATGAGTACAAAGTATTTAGCTGTACTTGACTTTAATAAGAACGGTGGCTGAAAAAATTATCTTTCGTAAGGATTAAGTAGAAAATAAAAAGGAGTTGATTGAAAAGCTGCAGCTCAGTCAATTGCGATGCTTTAATGTTGAATCTTAGTATGGACAGATGTTCCTTGGGAATTTAAGATGCTGCCTGGGAGAGTGGATATGAAACTCTCTACCTTATCTTTGAAACTTTCTATAAATCTTAAGTTATTCCAAAATAGAAAGTTTATTTTTGAAAAAAAGTTTATTTTATTTTTTAGAGACAGGGTCTGGTTGGCTCTGTCTCCCAGGCTGGAGTTCAGTGGCACAATCATGGCTCACCGTAGCCTTCAACTCCTAGGTTCAAGTGATCTTCCTGCCTCAGTCTTCCAAGTAGCTGGGACTATAGGTACAGACCTCCACATCTGGCTTATAGTTTTATTTTTTGTAGAGATGGGATCTCGCTCTGTTGCCCAGGCTGGTCTCAAACTTCTGAGCTCATGCTATTCTACTACCTCAGCCTCTCAAAGTGTCAGGATTACAGGCGTGAGCCAAAAAAAAAAAAAAAAAAAGTTTACTTTTTGCCTGAGAAAGCAAACATCCAATGGTAAAAACATCTAGGGGCTTTCAAAACATTTGTTTAAAAGACAGACATGTGCTTATGGTCTTATGTTTGAATGTGGTGAGAAAAAAAAGATTAGCAAGTGTCATTTACAGAGTGACCCATGGTACCTAAGTATACTAAATTGGAAATTATATCAAGATAATACAACAATCTGCACACATATGTTTGTTGTAGCTCTAGTCTCAATAGCAAAAACATGGAACCAACCATGTTGCCCATCAAAGTTGGACTAGATTTTTAAAATGTGGTACATATACACAATGGAATATTATGCAGCCATAAAGAAGGACAAACATAGGAACTTTGCAGCAACTTGGATGGATTTAGCATCGATCATACTCAATGTCAATGTTTGTATACCTAACCCTGAATTGTACCCCACATCGTTATAATTAAAAAATTATCTTAAAAACAAAGATAATACAACACACACGTTAAATAGATGCTTGATTTTCAGGCACAATTTGCTTTTGTAGAAGATGGCATTTCTGAATATAGGTACGTTCTGGAGAGGCTGGCATTATGTCTAGGGCCTTGCCAATGTTTCAAGTTTTTTTTTTTTTAAATCAAAGATCATAAGTGGTTTAGATCTATTAGGAATCTTGGCTTTTGTCCACGGCTTCCATGGCTACAATGCTAGAAATAGTGAAGAACGGTGGCTTTCCCATTTCCCCTTCCTGTAGGAGACAACAGGGTTGGTAAAAACCTGGTATGTAGGATGGGGTGATATTGGTGCTAAGTCGAGGGTGGTGCAAGGAACAAAAATTAACTGTAAAAATATTAGGAGCTCTGACACAAGAATCTCTTCTCTGGGAGTTACTGGGGTCACATCCTGCTTCCCTGCATATGCAGCGCACACCTGACTGAGACTCAGCGAACCTGAGGGAAGCCAGGCTCTCCCTGCGCATCTTAGTCTGGACTCAGCTAAGAACTTGCTTGCTGAAACTCGAACAGGGAACTGGGCTGAGGCAGAAGGAGATGGGCTGAGGGTAGACCTGTCTTCAGAAACATCAGGTGAGGCATTCCTCCCACCTGCATGCAGGTGCTATTGGGACATGCATGAGCAAATGAGACCTCTGCTTCCATCTGCCCCCAATAGTCTCAATCTGCAGCAGTTAAGTTCCTGCGACTCACTTAGGTAAGAAAGAATTACAAACTGTGGCCCTACCCAGCTCTACCAGGAAGCTCCCTACCTGCTGGGGGTCAAGGTCATTGAACTTGTGAAAATTGTCAGTGTCAAAATGAAGTCACTTATGTCAAACCCTAATCAAATGGAGTTGGGCGACCTTGAAGAGAGGGTCCTCATGTATATTTGCCCGATAACAAGAACCATCACAAGAGATTCTACCCAAACCGCAACCTCGCACAAAGGCCACCGCAACCTTGGGCAAAAAATACTTCTACAAGGATGCTTACATAGCAGCTGCCTGTTCAACCTCAGAATGATGTAACCCTTGCTATTGATCCTTGTAATCAAGGATAATTGTTTCCAAACAACATGTGTCACCTTCTTCGTTTTACTTTTAAAAACCTTTTCCTTGCTTTACCTCCCTGGATATACCTGTGATCCATCACAGCACGCACATCCAGTTTATAATCTCCTGTCATTCATTCCCGAATAAAGTCATTCTTTCTCTTTAGGGGTCTTTCTCTGCTATTTTAGGTTCACAGACCCTAACCACCAACCTACTGAAGAAAAAGTAATTTAGGTCTATTCTGGAGTCTACAGACACGATGTTCTTGGTATATATTTTACTATAGGGGAAAAAATGCAGATATTTTATGCCAAAATATCCTGAAACCTAACCTTGCTAAATTCTCTGTGTTCATTTTATGGACAATGAAAACTAGTAGAAATCACCAAAACAAAACAAAAGTTTGAAAGTTTGGGAGGCATCTAAATGCAATGTGAATTATATTTTTAACTAAAATGTGTTATATAGAAGTATTTTGGCACCTTATTTATAAGTTGGTTCTTGAGAAACACAAGAACATTGGAAAGCCATGGACCTGAGAAATCATTTCGCATGCATATTTGTAGTTGTAGAAATCTTTTTGATAGTAATCTGGTTGTTTTTTTTGAAATTGTTTTTTTTGAAATTTCTAATTAGCATTTTAAAAGTGGGATTTGTATAGTACTGAAGTATTGAAGAATCATATTTAGCCAAAGGTTTTAAAGAAACTGGAATTCAATATGAAAACTACTTATTGCATAAGCTGAGATCACCAGTAATGGTACCAACAAAAAGATGAAGCATTTAAGGGGAGTTTAAAGAAAACCTCAAAGGCTCATATGTGTCTGTACAACCACTTTATCATTGTTATGATTTCAAGATCAGTGACACTAGAAGCCCCATGCTTGTGTATTTTCAAATGTTTTCTTGGGAAGAGGCTGGGGTTTTGTTTGGTGTTTATTTTGTTTTTTTCCTTTCAGAGTCTTGATACTGAGTCATGCTGGCCAGAGATGGCCAGGGCCTGTGAATTTTGGACCCAGTACCAGGTAGTTTAAGCCAAAGATCAAAAAGAATTAAAGAAAAATGGATACCTTCATTGTGGGGAATATATGCAATTAGAACACATGATATGGTACTAATTCACTTATTCACCCAACACATACTATGCACCTGCTATATTCTAGGTGCTTCTCTAGAGTCCAAGGATTCGGCAGTGAATAAAACTGACCATGAAGATTACATTCTACTCAAGGGAAGACAGTAAAGGAATAAGTTATATATATTGTATGTCAGCTGGTATTAAGAATCGTAAAGAAAAATAAAGCATGGAAGAAGTAGAGGAAGTTCCGGCCGGACTCACTGGCTCAGCCTGTAATCCCAGAGCTTTGGGAGGCTGAGACTAGTGGATTGCCTGAGCCTGAGGGTTCAAGACCCACCTGGGCAACTTGGTGAGACCTTGTCTCTACAATAAATCAAAAATTAGCCAGGTGTGATAGCACGCGTCTGTATTTCCGGCTACTTAAAAGGCTGAGGTGAAAGGATCGCCGGAGCCCGAGGCTGCTGTGACCAAGAGCATACCACTGCACTCCAGTCTGGGCAACAGAGTGAGATTCCAACTCAAAAAAAAAAAAAGAATCATAAAGGAAAAAAGGAATGCATGGAAGAAGTAGAAGTTCTAAGGACTACAATTTTATACAGGGTAGGTGGGAAAGCCCTCATTCAGAAGGTGATTAAAAATCTGAATTCCGTAAATCACTCAGAGACCATCAATGGTTTCTTCCAGACAGCCACTCTGGCCCCCACTTACAAAGGACCACACAGCTGGGATTGTTTGTGCTGGAACTTCAGAATCCCATCTGCTATACATGAGAGGCCTTTTCCATAAGGAATGTTTGCCTAGGGAATTTCCTACTACTCTTGGTCCACACCACCCTTAAAAGCTGATCTTTATGTTTTGAAATTTGCCGTCCCCACTCTACTGGTGGTATCTCCATGCTGACTTCTCCAGCTCATTCATTTCATGGGGATGCCACTTTAATCTGGACTCAATCTGCACACCCCAAATTTCTAGACTCTGCGTCCACAGACAATTTCTCATAAGTCATAATTTTTCAAAAATAGGGAAGTAATTAACACTATGTCAAAGCTGATGGATGTTATGTGTGCACTGAGATTCTCCTCAAACAAGAACTTATTCTGTAGGCTGGGCAAGGTGACTCATGCCTATAATCCCAACACTTCGAGAGACCGAGGTGAAAGGATTGCCTGAATCCACTGGTTCGAGATCAGTCTGGGCGACTTGGCGAGACCTCATCACTACAATAAATAAAAAAATTAGCACAATGTGGTGTCACATGCCTGTAGTTCTAGCTACTTGGAAGGCTGAGGTGGAAGGATCACCCGAGCCCAGCAGGTCAAGGCTGTGGTGGCCATGAGCGTGCCACTACCCTACAGCCTGGGCTACAGAGTGAGACTGAGTCAAAAAGAAAAAAAAAGAACTTATTCGTAACTTACATGGTAGATATTTACTTACTTTCTCCAAATGTGCTTTACTGATCAGAGCGCCCATGCTGGCCAAGGGATCAGAGGGAATGCCAACTTTCCACTTTCTGGTAGCTTCTACAAATCTCTTTAGGAATTCACTATAGATGCTCTTCTGGACAAAAATTCTGCTGGTACAGAGGCAGATTTCACCCTGCCAAAAATGAGGACAGGGACAAGGTTGGGGACAGATAGAAAGATCATGGATCTTTTGAGCACGTGCTATGTATCAGGCACTGTTCTAGGCACCTGAATATAGTAGTAAATAAGACCAAGTCCCACTGTGTGGAACACATGATCTCATGGGAAAGAAAGGCAAAAACACAAGTCAACAAACTCAATACATAATGTAACTTCTGGTAGTAATTAAAGCAACAAAGGGAAATTAAGTAGAGGATGGGAATAGAAATAAATGGGAGGAACAGCTATTTTGCTTAAGGGAGTCATGGGAGGCACTTGCAAAGAGGGGATATTTGAATTGACTCTTGACTGACGTGAAGGAGCTGGATGGGCAAAGATCTGGAGGTAGGAATTCTCCGCAGTAAATGTAGAAGACCTTGCAGCAGGAATGAGCTGGCACACGTGGGAGAGGCAGAAAGGTGGGAGTGGAGGCAGGGAAGGGAGGTTCCTCGTAGGAGATGAGGCCAGAAGCCAGCAAGCCAGGCACTGTCAAGTAGTCATAGACTCATATGGAGATAACCTTTTATACTCAGTGTCATGAAGCAATAACAGGTTTTAAGCAGCAGAGTGCGATCACCTAATTACTTTTTTTTAAAATTTGGAGTCTCACTCTGTTGCCTAGGCTGGAGTGCAGTGGTACGCTCACAGCCACCCCAGAAACGACCTGCTGGGCTCCAGCGATCCTTCCGCCTCAGCCTTCCAAGGAGTCAGAACTACAGGCGTACGTGCTACCACACCCTGCTAATTTTTTATGTATTGTAGAGACGAGGTCTCACCAGGTTGCCCAGGTTGGTCTCAACCCGCGGGGGCTCAGGCAGTCCACTCGCCTCGGCCTCCCAAAGTGCTGGGATTACAGGTTGAGCCATCGAGTCCGGCCCTGATTGCATTTTTAAATGTTCATTCTGGAAACTGTGTGGAAAATCGAATGGAAGGCAATGAGAGTGGGAATGGACTGAAGAGTTAAGAAATTATTCCAGATAAGTGGAGGTAGCTTGGACCAGGCAGGCACCCATGGAGGTGGAGAGGGGTGACAGGGATCCACTGAGTTCAACAGAGTCCTTTGGGGGCATGGGACCCCGAAAGTGTAGGACACTGGCCTAGAGGCACTGGAGAAGTGACAGGATTCAGGGCGTATCTTTTTTTTTTTTTTTTTGAGTTGGAGTCTCACTCGGTCGCCCAGACTGAAGTGCAGTGGCCGCTCCCGGTCACCGCAGCTTCGACCTGCTGGGCTCCGGCGATCCTTCCGCATCAGCCTTCCGAGTAGCCGGAATTACAGGCATGCGCTACCACGCCTGGCTGATTTTTTGATTTATTGTAGAGATGAGGTCTCGCTGCCCAGGCGGGTCTCAAACCCGCGGGCTCAGGCCATCCACTCACCTCAGCCTCCCAAAGGCGCGGGATTACAGGCTGAGCCACCGAGCCCGGCTCAGGGTGTATCTTAATGATAGAAACAATAGGACCTGTCCTTGGATATGAGGAAAAGATAGGGCAAGAACACTTATAAGCCCTGGGTTTGGGGCCTGAGTCACAGAGCAGATGGAAGTGCTGTTCCCTGGAAAGGCAAACCAGAGGCAGGGAGAGGGTCAGTATTGCAGGGAAGGGAGAGGAAAGGAAATAGAGAGTTCTGCTTTGAACCTGTTAGGTTTCAGGTGTCTAAGGGAAAAAATAATCCTAATTATCATTTGAGTATAGCATGGAATAGTTCACAAACCACATTCTAGACATCTCAAAGCATTATGTATGTAGGACAAGTACATAAAATAACTATTTTCATCACGTTTATATTTGGTCTTCACCACAATCCTAGGAGATAGAATGCTTCTGATTATCTTGGTATGTGCACAAAGGTTCATTGTCCAAATTAAAGAGTAATGTTTTGTAATAATAAATTCTTTCTGCAACCAGGATCACTATTAGAACTATCTGCATATCTGGCTTGGGAAGTGTCCAAACACTAACAGTTTGATTTGCACATGTGCCCTGTGCCATAGTGGGGGGGGAGGGTGTGATAAAGAGACTTGAGGGTTTTACCAAGTTTCCTGCTCTCCAGTGCCTGGAAAGCTTAGGCAATACTAAGACCCCTGGGAGGATGACTTTAGAGGAAATTAGAAAAGGACAATGGCATATATCCAGTGCCCATTTATGTGAGGCACCATGCAGGATGCCGTCCTTGTAGTAATTCTGTGGTGTGGTAGCTTCCCCAGTTTACAGTTAAGAAATGGAGTTTTGAATTAATACATGCCCAAGGTCACACAGAGATGTTTCATAACAATCAGGTATGTTAAATTAAGGAGGAACGATGCATTCTACATTGAACTCGTCACTCAACTAAGTAAAGAAATCCAGTTGCTTTATTTATTTTGCCTAAACTCTATTTGTTACCTTGGATTGGTCAATTAGTCAATTTCATGTCTCTTTCCTCACTGACATTATAAAGCGCCCCCAAGAGGAAGGGTCTCTGGGAAACTTCAAATCCTAGCACAATTCGGGGAGCTAAGAAGCTCCCAGTCTGTATCTTCATGCTCAGAATTTGTTGACTTTAACAGAGGGCTTGCCTTGCTCTCATCTCAATTTCTTGGTCTTCATAATTTGTTCCTCTCTTATTGTCTCAAAGCCATCAAAACCCTTAGTTTAATTGTTCGCTTGATATTTGCTTACTTTAATGATTGTGTTGATTGCATCATAAAATTGCATTGTCTATTGATCCAGAAACCCTGAATATTTCTAGTCATTTTCTCTAGGAATCATGGTAAGATAAATAATTGCAGTAATTATCATGAAAATAGTCAAATATTTTTCACTCTATACTAGTTGAGAGGCATCTCTACTACCCTCATGATTTTACTAACAGAGAAATACAGGTTCACAAGGTCACCCGATGTCCAAGTGAGGTAAATACAGATGCATTTCTGCTCCTCTTTCCTTATATGGAAGATCTAACTTTTCAGTTGACATCTTTATTCTCTGCTAAAATGAGAACTCCCTTGGAGAAAATCATTCAGTGTTTATGAACATCTGCCGTACCACAGGCAGTTTTCTAGGCATTGATGCTAAAAATACCATGCAAAAGCAGACACTATTCCCATCTTTAAGACACCAACAGTCCAGTTGGTCTAGTGTTCTTTACCTTTTGGAGCATGATGGCTTTGAAGAATCTAACAAAATCTACGGAGCCCAGAAAAACATCTTTTATATAATTTCAGGAGATGCAAAGATGCCCTGAAGCTCATCCATGAGTCCAAGCTAAGAAATCTGCTCTAGACTGTTTCAGGTATTTGTAACTTAGTGTGTGAATACATTTAGGATACATTTAAAGGGAGAATAAATCAGCCGGGCATGGTAGCGCGCGCCTGTAGTTCCGGCTACATGGAAGGCTGAGGCGGAAGGATCGCCAGAGCCCGGCAGGTTGAGGCTGCGGTGGCCAGAAGCGGCCACTGCACTCCAGTCTGGGTGACAGAGTGAGACTCCAACTCAAAATAAAATAAAATAAAATAAAGGGAGAATAAAGTTTGCAGGAAATAGGAGATTTGGACAGCCAGAAGAGACATGGCAACTGCATGGATAAAAGAATGGAGAGGCCTGGAGCAGCAAAGCCACCATTCTGCTTCTGGCTGGTACCTGATAAAAGTTGTGTAACTCAAGAAGAGGAGCTTGCTGAATAGCAGCTGTGACTTGGTAGGGCCACGGATTGACGTTGAGATTGAACAGATAGTCAATGGAAATACAAAATGGACTGACTGATCCTGCTTCCACTGAAACGGGAGTGAGTTGACCCACTAACTCCCAGGCTTTGCACTGTGATGAAACTTGACAGAGCTACAGAGAGGAAAGAGAAAACCTCCAGAGAACACACCTGGTTGGCAAAGCTGGACCTGACAGTTGTTGGAATACACTCCTCCAGGTTGGCATCCTCAAAGATAATGGCGGGATTCTTACCCCCCAGCTCCAGGGAGAGCTTCTTGCAGTGGGGAGCACTCAGCTGGGTGATCCGCGTGGCTGTGGACTGGCTCCCGGTGAAGGAGATCAGGGGAACCTCCGGATGGGACACCAGGGCCTCACCTACCCTGGGCCCTGTTCCAAACACAATATTGACCACACCTGGAGGAACACCTGGGTGGAAAACAGTATCTGTCACTGGAATTCTCCTCAGTATGTTGAGAGTTTCAGCTTAGAGATTCTCCTTGAAAGTCCAATAGCTTGAGTGGGGGTGGGTAGGTTGGGGGAAGCACATGGGTTTTACAACACTTGGAGCTTTTATGGCTGCCTCTGGTGTAATAGCAAAGATTAGAGTCACTTCCGCCCATAGTACACTAGATGGAATTTCTCTGGATGCTTTGCTTTGGAGACACAGGGTAGAACACATGCTAGATAATTTATCCCATAATGTTGACTAGACCTTAGGGATCGAGGCTGCAGAGATATCCTCAGGCAGGTCAAGCCCAGTGAGGGTGCAGTGCCCTGCACCAGCTTGGTGTCCAGGAGTGTGAAAATGTTAAGTAGAGGGATATGCAAATGCCACAGAGGTACAGTAAAGAGACTGACTCTCTTGGCCCAGAGAGGCTCCCCAGCGAGGATGGCTTTGAGTTGGAGGCCCCATGCTCCATGGTGATAGACAGCACCATATGCTCTAGGGCTGACATACAAGTACCAAGAACAACCAAAACGGGTGTCTTAATCTTTTCTATCACAAGACCTTGCTCCTTGTATCCATATGCATTTATTTATATTTTTTTGAATTTACACGTCCATTACCTGCCCACGGCTACAAGGTATGCCAACTCAGGGCAGAAATGGCATGTTTTCTGCTCCCCATTGCAAACACTGTGAGCCAGCTGAGTGTGGCACCCTAACCAATACTAGTAAATGCAGATAGTGACTGGGTGCACACCATAGGCCAGCCATTGCTGGCAGTGATACCCACACTTCAGACCTCACAACATCCTCATGATGTATTGTTACACTTGCTTCACCAGTGAGAAAGTGGAAGTAAAGTGAGGTAGAATGACAATCTGTAAGCAGCAAAGCTGGTCAAGCAGGTTAATAAATAATTGCTAAGTCAATGAACAAGTGGATGAATGCTTGGTGCACGTTATCCAAACTAGAAATGGTTCATGAATTTGGGAAGTTTTAAATGTCCAAAAGGAAAACCATTAAGTACAATCCCATTGTGTCTAGGTAGTTTGTAGGGTCTGCCTGGAGGCAGCAGGATGTATTCCCTTGATTCTTCAGGCTTTGACCTACAGTAGGAACAGAAATCTTCCAGTGTGTAAGCTCTTGAGCTGCATCTTTGCTTCTGGTATCCTTCCCTTGCGAGAACCACTTTTAGAGTACGTGTCATAATTTCGCATCAATGATCCATCATCATCCAGAACTCGCCACAGAGCCACAGTCTTAGCCTGATCACCTTGAGGGGACAACAATGGCCCCATCCAGGTGAGTCCTCAAGAAGATGGGTGGGCTGCTTCCCTAAGTCCTGATGGTGTCTGGCAGAATCCCATTTCTAGCAGGTTTGTACATATGCTGAAATCTAGCTTAGGCCAGTCCCAGATTGTGGGTTACTGCCAGAGGGGGATGCCTGGCACCACGCGAGAGCACATGGACTGGGACACAGAGGAGGGTGGGAGGAGAAGATCTCCCAGAGGGTGGTGGGTGGCCAGCAAGGACAAGATTTCCACCCTTTCCTGAATAGCTCTGCCGGCATCTCCGCTAATTATTGGATTCGTGTGTGGAAGGATGAGGGGATGGGGGGAAGAGGACTATTAGGCAAAAAAATGGATCGAGTCACTTCTAATGTTTGCAGTCACATTTTAACAAAGAGTGAGAGAAAACACAGAAACACCACGTGTTGACCACCACCAGGAAATGAGTTCTTTCAGCAGGCAGACAGCCTTCCACAGCATGGTATTAATATGTCGATTACATTTCCTTGGGATCCAGTGCCCATGTCTGCCAGTCATTATTTCTCAGTTTCATTATCCAGACATGAATGAATGCATTTTTTTTTTTTTTTTTTAGCAATACCTACCCTCTAACCCTTAAGAGATTCTGGTTATAAGAGAAGGAAAGTAGTTTAATTGGCAAATACCAAGTCGGCAAAGCTCAAAGTAGATGGCTAGCAGACAATTTAGGAATGGATGAGAACAGACAAGAAGGAAGCTCCTCAAATTCAAGGACTAGGCAGTACGGCAACAAGAATAAGAGAGCACAACATAAAACCCAATGGGAAGGGCCAGAAAAACGCAGTCAATAGATGCTCCAGGAATGAGCGCAAACACTTGGTGCCCCCTAGAAGAAAATGAGTATTCTAGGACTCCCACAGAGGTACTCATGGTGTACTTTTTAAAATGATTTTATTGGCCAGGCGTGGTGGCTCACACCTGTATTCCCAGCACTTTGGGAGGTCAAGGCAGGAGGAATGCTTGAGTCCAGGAATTTGACCCTGGGCAACATAGCAAGACCTCGCATATACAAAAAAAAAAAAAAAATCAAAAAATTACCCAGGCATGGTAATGCATCCCTGTAGTCCCAGCCACTTGGGAGACTGAGGCAGGAGGATCGTCAGAGCCCAGGAGATTGAGGCTATGGTGAGCCATGATCGTGCCACTGCACTTCAGCATGGGTGCAGAGTGAGACCTCGACTCAAAAAAAAGGGTGACAGAGTGAGAACTTGACTCTGTCAAAAAAAAAAAAAAAAAAAAAGAATCTATCTTAAATGAAAGTGTGGCAGGATGCAGCAAATGCTCAAATATATTTCTTGTATAATTGAGTAAATAAACACAGAAACACATGTAGCTGATTCGGGATCAGCAGTTGGCCTCACCTGGGCTGACTGAATATCTCCCACTAGCCCAGCGGCAGTTAAAGGTATTTCCTTTTGAAAGGCAAGTTGCAAATTTAAAGACCTGCCAGGCGCAGGGTAGGTTTTGTTTAAGAAAGGCCAAATGGCCCAGAGAATGGCCATTTCATGGAAATGAAAAAGAGTCTTATCTAAAACCCCCCTTCTGAAGTTGATGGTTTACATGCCTGCAGTTCCTGGAAACAATTTGTTCTTTAAAAAATCTGATTTTGCTGAGTACAACCTTGTAAGATTTCAAAGGAAGTATGTAATCACTCAACACAATTCCCTCCCTTACCTAAACAAGGGTATAAGACCCCATTTCTCCTGTTCTGAGGCCCTCAATTTGGACACATTAGACCCTCGGGCCCGCTGGGATGGCCGGCGTAATAAAGTACCACTTCCTATAATAGTCTCGGTGTCACGATCTCTCTATTTTTCCTGCTACAAAAGTTATCTGTCAAGTTAGTTTGAATGCCCAGGACTAAAAGAGCTAGCTCCTTAAACACCCAGAATGTATTAGCAGTTTATATTCTCTTTTCCCCTCGCCCTATTGAAAGTTTTTCATACATTGCTCTAAGGCAGGATGGCATGGTTATGGCTCATACTTTCTCCCAATCCTGGTGGAGACTCCAGAGAGCTGCAACTGAAGCATTACACTCCAGAGTTTGCCAGGGGAGGAAGTTTGGCAAAGCCAAAGAAGAAAAGGGCTGTCTTGGTTTCACAGGCTTATTAGTTCCCAATAGATAAGATCGATGCCATGCAAAGAGATGGAAACAGAGAACTCTCATGCAGACTTGGATCTGGGTGGACAAGGTAGGAAAATTAACTCATCATGGATCAAGACGTGTTGGCCATGAACACTAAGCAGCCATAGAAAAAGAATGAAACTGTGTCCTTGCAGCAATGTGGAAGCCGTCATTCTAGGTGAATTAACACAGAAACAAAACCAAATACCGCATGTTCTCACCTGTAAGTGGGAGTTTAATACTGGGTATACAAGTATTAGGATGGGAATAACAGACACTAGGGATGATTAAATGAAGGAGGAAGAGGAGGAGACAAGGGTTGATAAGTCACCCATCAGATACCATTTTCACCACCGGGTGACAGACTCAATAGAAGCCTAAACCTCACTATCATGCAATATACTTATATAACAAACTTGCACATGTAACGCTTGTATATATAATAAAATAAAACAAAGTAAGATGCATTTGGTTTTAGGAGACAGTGGTCATGGGAACCTGGCTCTGTGCGCCACCCTCACCTCCATGTGTCCCTTCCCCGACAAGGGATCAAAGTAGAGTATAAGTCCCATTCCTACCCCACTCAGGGGATCCTGCAGTCACAAGGCAAGGAAGAAACATCTTGGGCCTTTGCAGACACCAGAGATTCCATTTTGCAAAGAATGGGAATTCAAATGTAGTCTCTTTTGTAAGGGAGGACATGAAAGCGGTTGGCACATTTATGTCATATACCCCCCAGAGGCCTAGGATATCCATAGACACCATGCCGAAGACCTAGGCTGGGAGGCCTCATTCCTCTGTAGGATACTAGAGTCATAAGCCCAATCTCCTTCCCTAAACAGCCTCAGTTTTAAGCTGTCATCTAAATCCTGACGTAAAGAACTGGCCAGACTTTACTGGGAGCTTATGTGCAAGTTTTTGCTTTGAGAGAAAGGCAACCAGAAGAGGGGAAGAGATGGACTCTTATCTGCCAGCCTTGCTGTGGACATGGAACTGCCCAGCAGTGCCCTCTGTCTGGACTGAAAGGCAGCCCCCACACAGCCAGCAGGATGGTAAGTCTGTCCCCATGAGCCACCATCATTCCTGCCCTGGCTGTGGGATGATGACACGAGCCAAGGGACCTTACACTAAGGGGTCGCCTCGCAGGTTACCATCTGGGACTTCCTGCTTGTTACCTTCGAACGGTGCCAGGCTGCACCTGTGTGGCATTACACCCCAGAACAAACCAGGAACACGCCCTGCATGTGGCCATTAAACTGTTATCAGAAGGAGAAAAAGGGACAAATGTGTGAGTCACAAAATGCTAACAAGAGGCCCAATTGCATCAGCCTCCAAGTAGTTGTCCCAAATGCAGGGAGAACTGAGGGATGTATATTCAGATCTCTTGAAAATAGGCTATGCAAACCATAGCTGTAGAAGATCCTGGTAGCATTGTTACCATCATCAAAATTAACTTGTGGTTCAAATGCAAGACTTAAGTTGACTGTCGATGATCCTATCTGGAACGCTGGTGTCTTGGATTCGATCAGACTCGTTAAGCCTGAATCACTATTGTGCCCTTATTATGCTGAACACCCCGGGGTAGAACCAGTCTGCAGCAGCGCCATCCAGCATTGAAGAGACGCGAGATGAGTGACCTCTATGTGTGAAGGGGATTTCCCAGAAAAGGATCAGGGCCATGAAACCCAGGATGTCACTGGAATCGATTATGCAGCTGAGCAGAAGATTTTCTGTGCCCACAGACCCAACTCTCTAAGCCTCTCCACAGACCCCGTCACTGAATTACCTGCTTTATCCAGGAGTTTACACAACATCCATGCAGTCACTGAAGTCATCTCGCTAGGCTTGGCTATCACAGTGTTCCCCACAGCAATGGCCGGAGCTATCTTCCAGGTCAGCAAGTAGAGTGGCAAATTCCAAGGGCTGATCAGACCAGCTAAGAGACGGAACAGACACACTGTCAATGGTGGCATGTCCCTCAGAGGCGAATGGCCAGGCAGGGTTGTGGATACAGAACTCCTACATGGAACTTCATTCATTCTTCTAACTTCTTCCCAAACTTTGCTTATTTTATTATTTCAGGGAAATAATTTTCTGAAATATATTACAAACTGTGTCTTTTAAGACTTTAAAGCCTAAAATCAATACAATATACTCATTTCTTGATGGTCTGGTGATTTTAACTATGAAAAAAGGCAATATAAACCCCAGAGCTGGCTGGGTATGGTGGCTCATGCCTGTTATCCCAACACTCTGGGAGGCCAAAGTGGGAAGATCGCTTGAGCCCAGGAGTTCGAGACCAGCCTGGTCAACATAGCAAGACCTCATCTCCACAAAAGAATTTTTAAAAGAAACTTACTGTGGTGGTGTGTGCCTGTAGTCTCAGCTACTTGGGAGGCTGAGATGGAAGGATCGCCTGAGCCCAGGAGGTTGAGGCTGTGGTGAGCCATGGCCATGCCACTGCATTCCAGCCTGAGTGACAGGGTTAGACCCTGACTCCAAAAGAAATTTTAATACTAAGTAAACAAACAAACAAACCCCAGAGCTAACGGGCTGTCAGCTATCACTAAACAGTTTCAGAATGTGACGCATTTTGAGACTTAGACTGAGCTTTACTTTTTTAAATGACTTCTCTCTCCCGCCGTGAGTGGTGGCTCATGCCTGTAATCCCAGTATTTTGAGAGGCAGAGATGAGAGGATTGCCTGAGCCCAGGGATTCAAGACCAGCCTGGGCAACTTGGTGAGATCTCCTCTCTACAATAGACCCAAAATTAGCCAGGCATGGTGGTGTGCACCAATAGTTCCAGCTACTTAGAAGGCTGAGGCAGAAAAATTGTCTGAGCCCAGCAGGTTGAGGCTGCAGTGGCCGTGGGTGTGCAACTGCACTCCAACTTGGGTGAGAGAATAAGACTCTGACTCAAAAAAATAAAAATATATTTTTAAAAAACTTCCCTTCTCATTATTTTAAACTACCCAGCTGCTATTTCTTCTAACAAGGTTGTTGTTACTTTTTTTAAACTGCTGTTTCAAATCTGTGTGAATGGAGACAAAAATCTCAAGTTTTATGGATTTATCTGTAAAACAGAAGTGAAAGGTTCTGAAAGTTTCTTTTGTGTGTGTGTGTAGAATGGAGCATCACTTTATTTTTTTTCTAATACACATTTTTTACTTTAAAATTGTGGGGTACAGTTAAGGGTTAGATATACAAATAAGCATTGTATAGGTACCCTTGTTGATGAGGTATGCTGAAAGTTTCTCATAGGGGCCCTCCTATCAGTAAAACCAATGAACTTTGATGCGCAGGCTGCAAAATCCATTTAGGCTATCCAGAAATAAATTTCAATAAAAATTTCCTTTAGATTCTCACCTGCACCCTAACCAGAGAGGTTTGCTGGATAAGTAATGTAGCCATTATCTAGAGTGTGTCTCCATGAAATATCCTGAAACCATCCAGGTTTCCAACCACAAAACATATAAAGATAAATTCTACCTTATGAATAAGGAAGTGATTCACCTTGTTTTATACTCTGCTCTCAAGTCTGTGCTATGAAAGTAAATGTATATTTTATATTATTAAATTTCCCATTGAACAACCTGTTCTTTAGGGATAACAGAAAATTTTTACAGCAAAATGCATTAGCATACTTCTTTAAAGGAGGTTTCTATAATGCCTGGAAAATACTATTTTCAAAAGCTTCAAAGAACCAAAGCAGTAAAATGTCCCATTTTCTTTCCTTTTAACTTATAATCCTGAAATGTAACTAGCAAAAAAAAAATTAAAGTTGGTTTTTTTTCTCAGATGAAACAGTGACATCTGGTGGATAGTTTTAGTCATTGCAGTCAGTTGTGTGTCCATTAAAGAGCAAGAGGCAAAGAAATGAATGAGGGAAGTGGTTAATTCTTAGTCAAGATTTATCCACCACATCCCTGGCACTATTATAAATGCCCTACCCATCAATTTATTCAGTGTATACAAAAACTCATAAAATAGAATTAAACCATTATCCCAGCTTTCCAGATGACATACTGAAGCCCACAGAAGTTAGGTGACTACCCCATGCAATTCTAGAGTCTTAACCACTGCACTCTCAGGAAATGATTTTTTTTTTCTTTTATAATAATAGGCAGCTAAAAAACAAAAAGTCCTGGTATGCAAATTTACTTTTAACATCACTCTTTTCCTGTGATTTTCCAAGATAATGTTCCAGAGATAATGTTCCAGAGATGCAAGGAATTTGACACCAAAGGAATACACTAAAATTTTGAGGACAACACATTTTAAGTAAAAGTAGAAAAAGCCAGCTCCTTTTTTCTCCTTAGTCTGTTCCCCAAGGCCAATTCCATAGAATTTTGTGAGTATCTCTATGCACAAGTGTTGGGAGCCGACCGTGGAGGCCTGCCTGAGCGTTAGGGATCCAGGTGGGCTGCGGACCCTGAGACCACCAGGTTTGGTTCAGGAGCTGAAGGCCCATTCCCTCTTCCTTTCTTTGTTGTTTAGCATTACCCACTGGCAGGGATTTTGATGATCTAAACATGAAGTTTTGAGAATATGACAGGCATGGCTGACTCTAGGGATCCATTGTTCCTGTTTCTCACAGACTGCGGTTTCAGCTTTAAACTTAACACAGTTCAAACTCAGATCACATTTGGGAGCCTTATACATGATACAAGCTTCTTTATAAGATTTAAAAATATATTTGTGGAATTAGTGTATACATTTAGAGAGCTGTTTCCAGCTTTAGATGGTATAGATGATTATCTAGGGTTACCAGAAATGGCCCAGCACGAACTTTGGACTGGGCCACATTCCTAAGGGCCCAGCATCCACTTTGGGCTGGGCTGCATTCTTTTAAACCAGTTCTTTAGTTACAATTAGTGTAAGCTTTTTCTACTTATAATAGAAACTGAATTTATTTTATTCATAGAAAGTATCGTAGAATAGGTCATGCTACGTGAGGGAATTATGTTAGTTCAAGCATGATCAAACATGCTAACATGATCAAATACAGCTAACTTTAGAAATTTCATTGTTCCCACTTCCTACTAATTGCAGTTTTGGCTTTAATACAATTACAGTTTGTATTTGGGTTTTATTTTAGAAGATTTATTGTTGATGATCAGCTTTATATACTAGGATTAGAAGTTAGAAACTTTTATAAAAATTAAGATAGATACATAGGATTTTTAAATAGCCATTTTGTTAAGAGATCATAATCAATTGTTCCTGGAAATGGCCCAGCGTGATCTTTGGACTGGGCCACATTCTTTAGGAACTGGTCTGAGCTATAATTAAGAGTTTTTTATAGTACAGGTAAAGTTAACACAGAATAGAAAGGTATTAGGATTTTAGTCAATCATTAGGTGTTGGGTATGTATAAATTTTAGAAGTTATTGATTATTAGGATTGTATGATGTTAGAATTGTTATATTGCTTTTGAGGAATATAAACCAAGCATGAGGAACAGTCAGATAATTTTGGGATTGTCCTTCTTCATGCTTAAGGAAACACCTGGTGGGTGGGGGGATGCGCCTCATCCACCTGGTCTTGTGTTCACGTGAAAGTCTTGTGATTTAACATGTGAAAATTTGGGATAAAAGACTCACGGTTGGTCCCAATAAACGGCTTCTGCTCATTTCACTGAACAGTTGTCCACTTTCTTTCTTTCTCTTTCTTTCTTTCTCTTTCTTTCTTTTAATAGCTATCCCTACTACAGAATCGGCTTCTGCACTAGACAGAGTCCAGTCTCTTTCTTTCTCCCCCTATTTTTCTCCAGAATATTTGCCGACGCTGCCCCACCTTCCAGGGACCCTCTAAATCTCTTTTTGGGGGCTGGCCCCCCATACACAAGTGCCAAAGAGCACCTACCTATTCCCACGGGTGTCTGTACCGTGTAGTGCAGACAGCCCAGGTGGTCCATCTGTGTACACTCTGACGTGTGGTGCAGGATGGAAGAAGCGAAGAACCGGAAGTTCTGTACTGACCGGGGAATGTCCATGGTTCTTGCCAGTGCTAAGGTTTTCCCTGTAAGAAGTAAACCAGGTGAAGCCCTGTCAGTTGCTGGAGACGCTCTCTCTGCCACGCATGTATCCCTACTCACACGGAAATTGCCTTGGTTCCTTCTAGTCTGGGCCTTGCATTCCTTGACCACACAAAGAGTGGATCATTTCATAAAGACCCCAAAAAGTTTTATTTCACAAAACTATAACATCATTAGGCATGAGGTTATAAAACGAGGTAGAAGGGTTGAAATTAAGTCAAATAACCTTTGCTTTGTGGACCAAACACTTTGCAGCTCTCATCTTGGTTTGCCAGATGCTACCACTTCACCCACACAAACTCTCGCCATTCAAAATCACCAGGCTTTGTACATGCGACAAAGGGGGTGAAATATGAGTGTCCTGGCAGCTGTATTTGCACATCCCGAGAAACCACTTTTATAATCATGTGGTGTATATTAAATGCCCTCTCAATACAAGGCAGTCATCAGAAAGATTGACACACACCCCTTAGCACGGAATGCTGGGTGTCACCTGCTCACCCATCACATGCCCATGCACGCCAAGCTCCTGGATGGAACAGAAAGAGGAACATAAACTTGTCTGGCTTGTTCCTGAGTTATCATTCATGATGCAAAGAGACCTACAGTCAGGAATGCCAGCAGAGGAAATATTTTCTTTTTAAGGGCTCGGACTTGGGCTGCTTTCTAACTTTAGGTTGGTTTATAGCACGCACATAATTTTAAAAGCTCTTGGTTTTCCCTAACAAGTATTATTGCAAAGACTTGCAGATATTTACTCCATTACCCTGATCTCTGGGAAGGAGTGGGACGATGACAACAAAAGAAGAAATTGTATTGGGAGAATAGTGACTGGCATATCAGCCAATGGCAACAAAAGAGAAAGTTGTATCAGGAGAATAGTGACTGTCTAAATAGCCTGACTGGTAACTGTTCTAATGATCTTGGCTTTGAAATTCTCTACTTTGAAAGGGTGGGAGATTGCACTTCATCATTTCCGGTATCCATGCCCTGTGCTGTATATCTTTGCAGTTTCTTCCACCCAGCAGGCAGGGTACATTCGGCCGGCCCTTGGCCTTGGGTTCAGTCACGTGACTTGCTTTGGCC